CAGGGTGACTGAGCACATTCACACAGGCATGCCACGCCCTCCCCCTTCCCCCCATGGCTCAACAGGCTTTCAGCCTAACACCCGGTGACTGTCAGACCTGTCAGCACTGGCCTGACCCATGACGATGATTGTATTCCAAGTCACCAAGGAAATGGGGACACCACAAGCAGCAACTTGACTTTGGGTGCATGCAGATAGATGTGTAGGACACCGTGAGGACCACAGATAATACACTCCTAAAAAATGGTCTGTAAAACAGACAGATTGAGCCCTGATTGCATTGCATGATTGCCTCTCCCTCCCCCCCCCCAAGGCTGAATCCCCAAATATAACCTGTGAGTGTCCCGGAACCCCGACATTTCCAGAGTCCCTGACCTCAAGTGGGGAAGGAGCTTCTTTGTGTTAAAGCATCCTGGATTGCTTTTGCATTTGTTCTGTGGCTAAAGCCGGGCCGACAGAAGGGCAGAGGGAGCTACAAACCTGAAACGGTGAAATCTTTGCCTTTGAGATTTTACCGCCTACCAGGGTAGAACACTCTGCAAGTGAGATCACCATTTTGAAACATCTGTTGTGCGCTCGGCACTGCACCATCTTAGCTGCTCAGCAACACATTGTCTAAAGTCAAGATCCAAAGTGTGATGAGCGTTCCGAGAGATGCCGGTGATTTCTTGAGGAAGTGACATTGGATCTGGCACTTGGAGAACAGGTATTAATTCATTGAACAGAATTGTGAAGGCCACTGAGAGAGCTGATGTATTCATCAAGCCCATGAGGCAAGAAAATAGAGGCCATGCTTCCTGAATGGGGAACATCTGCTGGACTCGACATGCCTTTTCCCCAAATGCAACAGTGTGGTGTTCACACAAGTCTTGACTTTCTTGCCTACCTCCTCTCACTTCCTGACCAATTCTACAATCCATGGATAGATCCATCCTACCAAATGACAACTCTACCAAGGAAGGAAGTTAAGAGGGTCAGATACGGGGATCATAAGGCTAGGTGGTAGGGACTGGGGTCAGTAAATGCCATTGCTTACATAATAAAGTCCAAACGCCTTATTATGCAAAGCTCTGAGCACCTTGAAGTGCCAGCTGGTTCTTTTCTAGTTTCATCTCATGCTTCTCTGTCCCCGGAGTGCTCTTGCATATCAGTCTCACCTAAACATATTGTGTACTTTATTAGTCTGCGCCTTTGTTTCTCTTGCTCCTACTGCCAGAAATGGCCAGGTCTCATTGGAAATCTGTGTCATTTTTGAGATTCCATTTAAATGGCACCTTCACTAAGGCATGTCTAATCATTTGTCCAGAATGAAGTGCTTACTGCAAAGGCCATGAGACACCCTTCCTCTATCCCAGCAATGGTCATCTGAGATAGGACCTGGAGTCACATGACCTGGTCCAATCTAACCCAGCTGCTATGCAAGAGCTGCAATGAGCTTCCTCATTTGTGAAAATGGAGATTTCCAATGTACCTTATGGAATCTTGTATGATAAAATGTAAGTGGAAATACTTTGTAAGTTATTACACAGGTAACCTCTGTCCATTTACATGCTAAACATATAAAATGTAAAGTCTCTCTTCCCCATTCACATAGAACAGGAATATTAAAAAAATGTACTTAAAATAATTACATTAGGGCTGGGAAGGTGGCTCAGTGGTAGAGTGCTTGCCTAGCATGCATGAGGCTCTGGGTTCAATTCCTAAGCACCATGTAAGCAGAAAAGCCCGGAAGTGGTACTGCGGCTCAAATGGTAGAGCAGTAACCTTGAGCTGAAGAGCTGAGGGACAGAGAGTACCCAGGCCCAGAGTTCAGACCCCACAACTGGAAAAAAAAATTAGAGTTGTAAAGGTTTACAGAGAATTCTCATGTACTTGTTACCCAACTTTTCTCACTGCCAATATCTTAAGTAACCATGCTACATTGCTTAAAAGTAACAAATTCATAACCTAGTACAATACATTAGCTAACCTATAGATTCTATTCTCATTTTTTATCAGTGTTTCTACTGATATCCTTTTTGGTCTGTTCCTGGATCCAATCTCAGCCAGCATTTAATTGCCATGTCTTTTGTTCTCCAATCTGGGACCATTTCACACTTGTTCCTTGTCTCTCAGGATCTTGATATTTCTGAAGAACTGTTTAGCTAAGTTGTAGAAGTAGAAAAGCCCCTCCATGTGAATTTTTTGTACTATTTTCTTGTTCACGGAGGCTATAGATTTGGCATCAAATGGGACAGAGGAAATGCACGTTCTTTGTACTGCACATGGGGGTACCTCACATGAACATTCTTGGTGACAAGAAAGGGAGTTTGTTGTTGTTGTTTTGCAGTACCAGGGATTAAATCCAGGGTGTCATGCATGCTAAACAAGAGCCTCGCCACTCGAGCCATGTCTCTAGCCCTTTCATTTTTGTATTGTTTCTGAGATAGTCTCACTAACTGCTCACATTGACCTTGAACTCAGGATCCTTCTGTCCCCTCCACTCAAGTTACTGGGATTTCAGGTATGTGCATGGTAATGATTACAGGTACCTGTAATGCCCAGCTAAGAGAGAGTATTTGAAGGGTTCATATCTGGCATTTGTAATAGATTGACTCATGGTATGCTCAATGAAATTGAATTATTCTGTCTCTTGCCGAGTATTACTTGTGGATTAGTTAGTACTTGTATTTATTTTCAGTAGTATGTAGGGATTGAGGGGCTATAGTTCAATTGGTTCAATGGTAGAAGATAGCTCAGTAGTGGATATAGCTCCGTGGTAGAGTAAAAAAATGAAAATTAGCTTAGTGATTGAATTGAAAGGTAAATTGGAGTTTGGCTGTATTTTATTCAATATAATTAGGGGCCTAGTGACTGATTTTAAGCATTCAGTTGAACAGCTTAGTAATTATTCTTTTCACACTGTCATAGTGTTGTCAGCCCTTCTTTGCTTTAGTTAATTTTCAGGTAGGATCTTGAATTTTTTAAACAAGAAATCACTTAAAAATAACAACAAAGAAAAACCTCTTATGTTCATGTCTTGGAGTTCGTTTTGCTTAGCATCATCTTACATGGTCATATGTACATAGCTACTGAGCTATTCTGCTCATCTGTTAGGAATATCCTGATATATACTAATTATTATGAATGAGGGAAACCAGAGGACTTATATTTCTGTGGGTCTGGCTTACTTCCCTTAATATGATGTTTTCCAAGTCTCTTCATTTCCTTACAAATGGAGCAGTGCCATTCTTTCTGATGGAAGCATTTTCTTGATCCATTCATCTACTGAGGGGCATCTGGTTTGGTTCCAAACCTTAGCTATGGTAAATAACGATGCAATGAACATAGTTGTGCTGGTAGCTTTAGTATGGCCTTGTCTGTGGTCATTTAGGTAAGTTCCCAGAAGTGGGATTGCTGGGTCATAGGGGAACTCCATGTGTAGTCTTTTGAGGACACTCCATACTACTTTCCACAGTGGTTGAACAAGATTACTTTCTCACCAATAGTGTAGTAGTATTCCCTTTTGGCCACATCCTCTCTAGCACCTGCTAATAGATTTCTTGATTATAGCCATTCTAATTGGGGTGAGGTGGAATCTCAATGTTGTTTTGATTTGCATTTCTTTTATGATCAGAGATGTTGAGCATTTCTTTGTCTATTGGCCGTTTTTATTTCGTCTTCAGAGAAGTCTCTCTTTTAAGTCGTTAGCCCATTTATCAATGGGACAGTTGTTTCTTTGGGGATTTGGTTTTTGAGGGATTTAATTTTTTGAGTTCAAAGTATATTTTAGTTATGAGGCCCTTGTCGGTTGGTTGTATGCTAGTGAAGATCTTCTCCCAATCTGTGGGCTTTCTATTGATTTGATCCCCACCCCCACCCCTGACGTAGGCCTCCCTCATAGCTAGAGTTACAGGCAGGTATCACCATGCCTGGCGGAGATCCCTATGACAATTGAGTGAAGAGAAGTGAGAAGAACTAAGATGCCAGTCGGAGAGACAGTTGTTTTTATTGTCTTGCTTTGAGTCCATTGCTACCGATTTGGCCATAGCATTGTAAAAAGGAACACCTGGAGAAGAAAACGTGGGTAGAAGTCAATCAACTTGGGTTTGTAGATGCTGAATTTGTCTCCCACCAAAACACCCTGTGAAGGTGTGTGGGAGGCAGTCATAAAGGCTGGGCAGAGGGGAGGTGAGCCTTGAGATCTCGATCTGAAAGCATTTCTAGTCAAGCTAAAGAAAGGGAGCCGATGGACGGGGCGGGCGTCACGGCGAGAGAAGTCAGACACTTACAGATAGGTTAGAAATGGGAGTCGGCCAAGGACAGGAGTAAAAACCCTCGGAAGCCCCACAAAGACCATGGTCGAGAGCTCGTCGGGTGGCCGTGGGGGGGGGGGAGCGCTTCACTACTTGGAGGATGCAGATGGCGGGGAGGCCTAGGGAGACGAAATGACCGGGTGACGGCGCCTCTTCAGAGCGAGGGCTCGCAGAAGCAGAGGCTGGGAAGCCGTGTCTGTCATTTCAGTCCGGCCACTCAGCCTGACCGCGGCCTGGCACGGAGCCCTCCAGCCTCGAACCGCTGGCTCCCCGGGCCACGGCCGCCCGCTCCGCACCGCAACTTCCGGAGCCGGGCCGGAGCCTCGCGGCGCTGGCCACACAGACCGTATTTAGATCCACATTCCCATCCTCCTAAGGCCACCACAGCCGTTGATCCAGGCGGACAGAGCGAGAAGTAGGCGGCGCCGGCTGCCCTGACTCAGATCTGACTCCTCACCAAGAACAAGGCTAGACGAGGGGGGACACAAGGGCGCTATCCTTCTGCGCTTGCGCTCGGTGTGGCTCTCCACTGCGCCCCGCCCACTCGAGTCGTACAGCGCAGGCGTAAAAGGTAACTTCCGCCAGGCTTCGCTTAGCTTCACGATTTCCTCCGTTCCGTCTCTCCGAGAACCCGGCTGTGGCGCGGCGCAGCGTAGGTGAGTAAGTCGGGCGCGTACCGATGACGAAGCGGAAGCGTTCCGGAGGGAGGCGGTGGCAGCTCCGGCGGGTCTCGGGATTGCGGAAGTTTGTGTTCGGAGGGGCCCAGGGCCGGCGGAGCTGTGGTGGTTTACAAGTTCCGGAACGGAGGCCGCGGCTCCGGGTCCGAGCGCCACGAGCCTCCAGAGGTGGGTCACACTGGGTGCGATTGGGCGTCGCGGCCTCGGGCTTCCTCCGTTCCTCGCTCGTCCCCGAGGAACCGCCTCATCTCCACCATGGCTTCCACCGGGCCCAACCTCCAGGTATGGCCGCTCGGTGCCCCTACAGGCCGGGGCCGGGGCCGGGGGGAGGCGGGA